GTGATCTCGCCCAAGCCGTTTTTTCTATCCTACTGGGCCCTTCGATGATTATGTTTTTAGGCCTGTCCGGCCGCACATCGTTACAATCCGGCATAAAAATATTTTCCCGGGCCCAAATTTGAAGACCCTCTAGTATGACGAATGAATCCAGTGACAACCGTGACACGAACGGAACAATCAGAGGCTGAAAAATGCGTTTGTAGTTGCTCATCAAATTGTGGTATTGCAACGTAAACGATTTGGGTCGTTTTCTTTAATTACCTAAAGAGCTGCATCTCTAGAACCGGTATTTAATGCTTCAGCGTAGACTTGTGCGGCGTACTGTTTACAGCCTTTGGCGGAATGTCCGTTTATCTGGAACTGACCCCATTCACAGACATGATCTTCCTTCTCGATATATTCCTTGACGTCCGTTGTGGATTTTGCACTTTGAATATTTGGGTGGAACGTTCCCTTCCGACCTAGAACTGTTATGTCGAAGAATTTGTTATTTGTGCAGCAGAACCATCCCTCGAACTGTAACAGGGCATGCACATGGGTTTCTCCGTTGGCATGGAGATCCCTAGAATTTTTAATGAATTTAAGGGTTGTGGGTTAGTGAAGATTTTAGATAATAGAGAACTTCATTTTTGGGAACGGAACACCTCGGATATGTGAGAAAATAATTTTTGGAATTGAGCTTATTAAATCGGTTTAGGGCCATTTGCGAATTGTCACTCTTTGGTGACACTCTTTCGCCCCAGGGGAAAACTCTAAAATGAATGGGTGATAAAGGGACAATATATAGGGGGAGGGCATCCTGTTAATATTACCAGGATACCCTCTCTCGGCTTTATATAGTGGGTCCCGCTCGAGTATGAGAAAAAGAAGGAGAACTTATTGTGAGTAGATTTGAAGAAATAAGTGTCGCCTTAAAAACTATTCTCATACGATGAGCGTTGCATCATACTCATCTAGGGCTTCTGTCATATCGGGATAAGAACTCAGTATAAAGGAATGAGTGTGACTAGATTGTAAAGTGAAGCATCTATTTATACAAAAATGTGAAGCAAGTGAGTACTTAAAGGCTAGGAAATGACCAACCAAGTGGATACTTTTTAGATGTGAAATGAAAAACCAACTTGGTCCTTACTAGATGTGAAAGGACTAAGCAAATGTGTGCTAATTAGATGTGAAATGGACAACCAAGTTGATACTCATTAGATGTGAAATGATAAGGCAAGTGGTGATTAATTCAAACCTAATTTTAAAAATAGTACAATTGCAAAAAACAAATAAGCAAATATGAAATACTAAAACACTAATAATTAAACACTAAATAGGAAACCAATACATTTTTTTAAATACAGAATTAAATAACAGAAACTAAAATACGAAATTACTAATGCAACCATACATGCCCTTGTCAAGTCTATGAAAGTTGTCTTCTCCATGGGCAAGTGACAGCATAGCTAGTCGTGACATCTTGATCATAGTCGAGAATTACATTTTGTTGCTCTCTTAACTGCTTCTGCTTCCTTAATGAGTACTGACTTAGGTCCATAGTTACGACGTCTATATTCCATAGTCTTGTAGTCGCATCAGCATTCGCCTTGGCCGACTCATACCTCTCCTCTCTTCTCTTATCCATGAACTCAACCCGTCTTCGAATTCTTGTTTTGGCTTTTTTTTTTCTTTCCCTTTTGTTTGTCATGCGCCTCTAGACGATGTAGAGGACCACTTGCACTGTCGGAAGGAGAGGATCCACAACCTCCAACAAATATGTCAGGAGTGACTAAAGAAGTGATGTCACGGGTATAAAGGTGGGAATAGTATCATATTGTTGATACCACTTCGCACATGCTTGAAGGATATGCCAAGCATGATCAAACTCAAAAGGCTTTGCCACGATTGTCATTTACAAATATTGTTTTTGCAGCATACTCCTACAAAAGCACAAAGAACATATTATATTTAGATGTTGTTACTAAATATTTACATTGTATATAAATATACAAGCACACATTTACATTATATTTTTTTACTAGTAAAATATAAAATGTAAAACACAAACCAACTATTATATAAGTATATGTATGCAATTTATTTACTAGTGAAAAAATATAACGTAAATGTGTTTTTGTATAATTATATACAAACAAGGATAAAGAGGGTTCTAGGACCCTAAAGAGGGTAGGACTTTATCAAGAACATCAATTTTTATTAACCGTTTTATTAAGCGGAAGGCTTCTATTAAGTTTGATGTTACATCTGTATCAATTAATCCCAAATTAATTAAACCAGTCATTTTATTTTATTGAATTGATCTATAATCTTTAACCAACATGAACAATATAATTTTCCCATATTTATTAGTATAAATTTTTATTAAACACATAGTGTCCAAAAATCATACCTTCTTTAGCAATTCAGATCACCGGAGTCACTCACCTCGCCCAAACTCCCTTCTCTCTGCCAATAGCAACATCACGGGAAACACGGCTGGGTGCTAGGATACTCGACAGATCTTTCCGAAATTACTTTAGTCGAATATAACATCTACACTCTTTATGTTTAATATTAATCTATTACTAATAAATATATTGAGATTATATGTATGCTAGCTAAAGATTATAGAAAAGAGAGACTTGAAAGAAATTCAAGTTTTATTGAATTCTTGCGTAGGGAACTTCCTATGATTCTGATGCCTTCTTATGGTTACAATGAGCTCCTTATATAGGAGTTTTCCATAGTGGTACAATTATTACATGATAGAAATTAAATAATGCATGAATAGTAAATACTCCATTATTGTTGTACATGTGTAAAGTAATGAATAATAGTCTCCACAATAATTTGTCAAATGTCTTGTGACATCTTGTTTTGGGAATCCCACTTGGTTTGCATTGATAATATGTGTTCTTTTGGTGGCTCCCATCCTCCATTTGTTGGCTCCATCTCCCGTTTTTGCTTCATGATAGATAACAAGTGTCTTCTTTTCTTACACATAATATCTCTATTATTTTTTGGTGGCTCCATCTTCTGCATCTCTTCCAAATAATATCTTTGACATAAATCTTGATATGTCTTCTTTTCCCGTAGGAATTTTGAAATGTATCATTGGTAATATGGATTTTGTAATATGAGCTTACTGTAGTGTGAGCTACATTGGGCCAGTTAATATGACTATTTTGGGCTAACCCATATTTTGTAATATACGTACTGATTTACATCAGACATGTTGTATGATAATATATCCCAAGTTTTACATTGAGCCTTTTATAGGAACGGATCAGGACATCATTCCTTTTTTATTATGGGTTTATTAGTGGTAGTATTTTTATAGTAATTATGGGCCTCTTCTTCCTTTGCCCAATGAGGTTGGTATATTGTCCCAATGTTTCTTTAGCGTGTTTATGTTTCAAATCCATAATTCTGTTATGCATATCTGTTAGTGCCATGGTGTCTTGTGTTAAAATATCATTATTATAATATATTGTTATTATTTCTTCAACTTCACCACCTTGACTGGTTGTAATGACACATGCTTTTCTTGCTCGTATCATTTCTTCCAGTTTTGATTTTAATGTTATTAATCCAATAGCTCTTTTTGTACTTATCCATTCTTGAAATTTATCAATATTACATGGAATTGACATATTAAGACTAGTATTATCCCCTTCTATGTTAGTATTTTTTCCAGTTTTAAATATTTGACAAAGTAATATAGGTTTGCCTACTAAGTCTGTTGAGGCATCAAATATCTGTATTCCATATATGCATTTTCCAAAAGATTCCATCATTGATTCAACTGATTTTAAAATTATTGTTGGTAATTTGATGATATAAACTTTCGTCTACAATTATTTTATCAATAAATCCATAGGTAAATAGTTTTTGAACAACGTCAGGGTTAGCATTTTCTTTACATAAAAATCTTGGATATTTACTTGTTTTATTACTTCTTAATATTGTTACATTTGTTTTATAATCATACAATTTATTAACTTTTTCATATGATGTAATATATTCTTTAGGTATTTCATGGTATCTGACATGGTAATAGAGGTTTGTTTTTGTGTTTGAGAGGTTTGAGTAGGTAATTTTGGTGATATAGTCGGTGGTAGTGTAGCAAGCTTTGATAAGAATGTTTCTGAGGACTTTGGTTGTAAGGTTTTCACAGTTTTATAGTCTTTGATGGCTTCAGTAAGACTGTTAATTAATTCAGTGCATTATTGTAAGCCTTTTATTAATATAATATGTTTTTCTTTAATCTCTTTTAAAGCTCGTTCCATATACTCTTCAAAGTTATTATTGGATGTCATGGTGATACATGCTCAAAAAATCAGCTAAAACATTCTTAATTCCAGATATAGTTTTAATAATGAAATCATAACAACAAAAGAATGACATCTAATAATAACTTTGAATAGTATATGGAACAAGTTTTAAAAGAGATTAAAGAAAAACATATTATATTAATAAAAGGTTTACAAGAATGCACTGCATTAATTAACAGCCTTACTGAAGCCATCAAAGACTATAAAACTGTGAAAACCTTACAACCAAAGCCCTCAGAAACATTCTCATCAAAGCTTGCTACACTACCATCGACTATATCACCAAAATTACCTACCCAAACCTCTCAACCACAAAAACAACCCTCTATTACCATGTCAGATACCATGAAATACCCTAAAGAATATATTACAGGATATCAAAAAATTAAAAAAAATTATGATTATAAAACAAATGAAACAATAATAAGAAGTAATAAAACAAGTAAATATCCAATATTTTTATGTAAAGAAAATGCTAACCCTGACGGTGTTCAAAAACTATTTACCTATGGATTTATTGATAAAATAATTGTAGACGAAAGTTTATATTGTATCATCACATTACCAACAATAATTTTAAAATCAGTTGAATCAATGATGGAATCTTTTAGAAAAGGTATATATGGAATACAGATATTTGATGCCTCAACAGACTTAGTTGGCAAACCTATATTAATTTGTCAAATATTTAAAACTAGAAAAATACTAACATAAAAGGAGATAATACTAGTCTTAATATGTCAATTCCATGTAATATTGATAAATTTCAAGAATGGATAGTGATGGAGTATATGGCCCAGGAACCCCCGGCCCAAAGACTCCTACTTCTCCTACACAAGTCCATTGAGCCCAGGGAACAACTCAGGCCCAAATACCACGGCCCAAGCCTCAAGGTGGCCCAGGATACACATTGGGGTGCCTTCGGCCTCCTTGGCCGAAGGCTCCAAAACTCACAGAATAGCCTTCTCTGGCATAAGAAGCTACTGGGAGAAAACGGCAAAAAACATGAGCCTTCGGCATTGTCAAGCCCTCGGCATCAGAGCCTTCGGTCACATGAGGCCTTCGGCTACACAGGGGTCCTGGTCGCATGGAGCCCTCGGCTACACCAGGAACCTTCGGCCAGACACGCTCAATCATCGAAGATTCCTTTTGGAGACAGCCAACGACCGCATTTAATGCTACATCACATCCGCCAACCGCATTTAATGCGGTGAACGTACCACTGCCGGTGCCACCCAGCTGATGTGACCCCTCGGCCGTTGGATTACTGACACGTGTACTCTCATCGCATTTATTGCTGCTATAAATAGCAGCTCATTTCTCCTTGTAAAGGATCGACACCTCAACTCCACACGGTGAGTTCATTTAATAAAATCGACTCTCTCTCCTCCTATTTGCTCTGATTTCTCTCTAAGTTATTCCCACAATAACCCCTCGGATAAGATACCCCCCGGGTAGACTATCCATCAGATAGGTACAAAAAGAGCTATTGGATTAATAACATTAAAATCAAAACTGGAAGAAATGATACGAGCAAGAAAAGCACGTGTCAGTGGAACCAGTCAAGGTGGTGAAGTTGAAGAAATAATAACAATATATTATAATAATGATATTTTAACACAAGACACCATTGCACTATCATATATGCATAACAGAATTATGGATATGAAACATAAACATGCTAAAGAAACATTAAAACAATATATCAACCTCAATGGGCAAAGGAAGAAGAGGCCCATAATTACTATAAAAAATACTACCACTGATAAACCCATAATAAAAAAGGAAGGATGTCATGATCCGTTCCTATAAAAGTCCCAATGTAAAACTTGGGATATATTATCATACAACAGGTCTGATGTAAATCAATACCTATATTACAAAATATGGGTTAGCCCCAAACAGTCATATTAACTAGCCCAATGTAGCTCACACTACAGTAAGCTCATATTACAAAATCCATATTACCAATGATACATTTCAAAATTCCTACAGGAAAAGAAGACATATCAAGATTTATGTCAGAGATATTATTCGGAAGAGATGCAGAAGATGGAGCCACCAAACAATTATGGAGATATTATGTGGAAGAAAAGAAGACAGTTGTTATGTATCATGAAGCAAAAATGGGAGATGGAGCCAACAAATGGAGGATGGGAGCCACCCAAAGGACATATATTATCAATGCAAACCAAGTGGGATTCCCAAAACAAGATGTCAAGAGACATTTGGCAAATTATTGTGTGGACTACTATTTATTACTTTACAAATGTACAACAGTAATGGAGTATTTACTATTCATGCATTATTTAATTTCTATCATGTAATAATTGTACCACTATGGAAAACTCGTATATAAGAAGCTCATTGTAACCATAAGAAGGCATCAGAATCATAGGAAGTTGCCTACGCAAGAATTCAATAAAGCTTGAATTTCTTTCCATGTCTCTTTAAGTCTCTCTTTTCAATAATCTTTTGCTAGCATACATATAATCTCCATATATTTATTAGTAATAGATTAATATTAAACATAAAGAGTGTGTAGATGTTATATTCGACTAAAGTAATTTCGGAAAGATCTGTCGAGTATCCTAGCACCCAGCCGTGTTTCCCGTGATGTTGCTGTTGGCAGAGAGAAGGGAGTTTGGGCGAGGTGAGTGACTCCGTTGATCTGAATTGCTAAAGAAGGTATGATTTTTGGACACTATGTGTTTAATAAAAATTTATACTAATAAATATGGGGAAATTATATTGTTCATGTTGGTTAAAGATTATAGATCAATTCAATAAAATAAAATGACTGGTTTAATTAATTCGGGATTAATTGATACAGATGTAATATCAAACTTAATAGAAGCCTTCCGCTTAATAAAATGGTTAATAAAAATTGATGTTCTTGATAAAATCATACCCTCTTTAGGGTCCTAGAACCCTCTTTATCCTTGTTTGTATATAATTATACAAAAACACATTTACGTTATATTTTTTTACTAGTAAATAAATTACATACATATACTTATATACTAGTTGGTTTGTGTTTTACATTTTATGTTTTACTAGTAAAAAATATAATGTAAATGTGTGTTTGTATATTTATATACAATGTAAATATTTAGTAACAACATCTAAATATTAATATGTTCTTTATGCTTTTGTAGGAGTATGCTGCAAAAACAATATTTGTAAATGACAATCGTGGCAAGACCTTTAAGCTTGATAATGCTTGGCATATCTTTCAAGCATGTCCGAAGTGGTATCAAGAATATGATACTACTCCCCCCTTTATACCCGTGCCATCACTTCTTCAGTCACTCCTGACATATTTGTTGGAGGTCGTGGATCCTCTCCTTTCGACGGTGCAAGTGGTCCTCTACGTCGTCCAGATGCGCTTGACAAACAAAAGGGAAAGAAAAAAGCCAAAAACAAGAATTCGAAGACGGGTTGAGTTCATGTATAAGAGAAGAGAGGAGAGGTATGAGTCGGCGAAGGCGAATGTTGATGTGACTACAAGACTATGGAATATAGACGTCGTAACTATGGACCTAAGTCAGTACTCATTGAGGAAGCAAAGAGGTTTAGAGAGCAACAAAATGTAATTCTCGGCTATGATCAAGATGCCCCGACTAGCGATGTCGTCACTTGCACATGGAGAAGATAACTTTCATAGACTTGACTAGGGCATGTATGGTTGCATTAGTAATTTCGTATTTTAGTTTCGGTTATTTAATTCTATATTTAAAAAAATGTATTGGTTTCCTATTGAGTATTGAATTATTGTTTTAGTATTTCATATTTGCTTATTTGTTTTTGGCAATTGTATTATTTTTAAAATTAGGTTTGAATTAATAACCCGTTGCCTTATCACTTCACATCTAATGAGTATCAACTTGGTTGTCCATTTCACATCTAATTAGCACACACTTGCTTGGTCCTTTCACATCCAGTAAGGACCAAGTTGGTTTTTCATTTCACATCTAAAAAGTATCCACTTGGTTGGTCATTTCCTAGCCTTTAAGTACCCAATTGCTTCACATTTTGAAGGGAAAATGGAAACTAATAATTCAACCTTTTAGTAGTCTTCTTACAATAGTCCCACCACTCCCACCTTTTTATTATTCAAGAATAATCCAACCTTTGCACCCCATCTTCATTCGCTGGTCCCTGATCGGTTGATGACTTGCTATTCCAAGTTATTTTCTTATCTTTGCAAAATATTATCTTTGTGAAAGGTGAGATTTATGGTATAATGGTAAGCAAAGATAAGAAAATAACTTGGAATAGCAGGTCATCAACCGATCAGGGACCAGTCAATGAAGATGAGGTGCAAAGGTTGGATTATTCATGAATAACGAAAAGGTGGGACTACTGTCAGAAGACCGCTAAAAGGTTGGATTATTAGTTTCCATTTTCCCTTTTTGTATAAATAGATGCTTCACTTTACAATCTAGTCACACCCATTCCTTTATCCTGAGCTCTTATCCCGATATGACAGAAACCCTAGATGAGTATGATGCAACGCTCATCGTACGAGAATAGTTTTTAAGGCGACACTTATTTCTTCAAATCTACTCACAATAAGTTCTCCTTCTTTTCCTCATACTCGAGCGAGACCCACTATATAAAGCCGAGAGAGGGTATCCTGGTAATATTAACAGGATGCCCCCCCTATATATTGTCCCTTTATCACCCATTCATTTTATAGTTTTCCTCCAAGGCGAAAGAGTGACACCAAAGAGTGACAATTCGCAAATGGCCCCAAACCGATTTAATAAGCTCAATTCCAAAAATTATTTTCTCACATATCCGAGGTGTTCCGTTCCCAAAAATGAAGTTCTCTATTATCTAAAATCTTCACTAACCCACAACCCATAAATTCATTAAAATTTCTAGGGATCTCCATGCCAACGGAGAAACCCATGTGCATGCCCTCTTACAGTTCGAGGGACGGTTCTGCTGCACAAATAACAGATTCTTTGACATAACAGTTCTGGGTCGGAAGGGAGCGTTCCACACAAATATTCAAGGTGCAAAATCCGCAACGGACGTCAAGGAATATATCGAGAAGGAAGGTCATGTCTGCGAATGGGGTCAGTTCCAGATAGACGGACATTCCGCCAGAGGCTGTAAACAGTCCAGCGCACAAGTCTACGCTGAAGCATTGAATACCGGTTCTAGAGATGCAGCTCTTTAGGTAATTAAAGAAAACGAGCCAAATCGTTTACGTTGCAATACCACAATTTGATGAGCAACTACGAACACATTTTTCAGCCTCCGATTGTCCCATTCGTGTCACGGTTGTCACCGAATTCATTCGTCATACCAGGGGGTCTTCAAATTTGGGCCCGTGAAAATATTTTTCTGCCAGATTGTTACGATGCGCGGCCGGACAGGCCTAAAAACATAATCATCGAAGGGCCCATTCGGACCAGTTGAGACACGCAATTACACAGGCTCGAGGTTCAACATGCCTAACTTGGATACCAGAAACTGGAATCTCTTTTCATCCAGTGCCTTGGTAAACAAGTTAGCCAGTTGAATCTCAGAGCTTACAAAATACATATCAACGTCTCCTTTCTCCACATGGTCCTTGATGAAATGATAGCGCAGGTCAATGTGTTTGGTGCGCGAGTGATGAACGGGGTTGCTGGTTATGGCAATTGTGCTCTGGGAGTCACTGTAGATCGGAATATGATTGAATGTGAAGCCATAGTCTTTGAGCTGAGTCCTCATCCATATGATTTGTGAACAACAACTAGCAACCGCTATGTATTCTACCTCGGCTGTAGACGTTGACACATAGTTCTGCTTCTTGGAGGACCAACAGACTAGCTTTTCTCCTAGAAATTGAGCACTTCTCGATGGACACTTCCGATCCATTCGGCAACCAACAAAATCCGCGTCGGAGTACCCAATGAGGTCAAAACCCTAATTCTTGGGATATCAAAGGCCCAAGTTGACCGTGCCTTTTAGGTACCTCAAGATTCTCTTCACAACGGTTAAGTGGGACTCCTTTGGATTAGCCTGAAATCTGGCACATAAGCATGTTGAGAACATAATGTTAGGTCTGCTTAAGGTAAGATACATCAATGATCTGATGATAGCCCTATAATGAGTAGCATCAACTGGTTTCCCTGTGGGGTCTGAGTCAAGCTTATTGTTGGGGGACATGGGCGTTCTCATGGATTATGTACCGTCTATATTGAATCTCTTCAGCATCTCCAGAATGTACTTTGACTGATCGATGAAAATCCCGTCTGGTAGCTATCTCACTTGCAAACCTAGAAAGAAATTCAGCTCTCCCATCATGCTCATTTCAAACTTCGTCCTCATCAATTCTTCAAACTTCTTGCACAGGCTCAGATTTGAAGAGGCAAAGATGATGCCATCGACGTGGATCTGAATCAGAATGATATCAGTCTCATGTCGCTTGATGAACAGTGTAGTATCAATCTTTCCCTTCGAGAAGCCTGATTCCACCAGAAATTCAGCTAAGACATCATATCAGGCTCTCGGTGCATGCTTCAATCCATAGAGCGCTTTATTCAACTTATATACACGATTCAGACATCTTGGATCTACAAATTCTTCTGGCTGAGTGACATAGACCTCTTCTTCAAGAACTCCATTTAAAAATGTTGTTCGTCCATTTGATAGACCATGAAGTTCTTGTGTGTCGCGTAAGCAAGAAAGAGGCGTATAGCTTCAATTCTGGTTACGGGTGCAAAAGTCTCATCATAGTCTATGCCCTCCTGTTGGTTTTATCCCTTAGCAACCAATCGAGTCTTATTTCTCACAATGACACCTTCTTCATCCCGCTTGTTCTTGAACACCCACTTCGTGCCGATAATGGTTTTCTTCTGGGGTCTAGGCACGAGTGTCCAAAAATTCATTCTGTTGAATTGATTGAGTTCATCATGCATAGCAATCACCCAATCAGAATCTGCCAATGCTTCAGAGACTTTGGATGGTTCAGACTGGCTAATAAAACAGGAGAAGAGGCATTCATTGGCTGTTGCAGTTCTGGTGCAGACTCCACGACTAGGATCTCCAATGATTTGTTCTACAGGATGAGCCTTCGTCCATTTCCACTCATGAGTAAGAGGGATTGGATTTATGATAGGATGATCCGGGTCCTCAAAAGTAGCAGATGTAGTTTGGTGAGGAGTGGAGTGCACTGGAGTTGTCAGAGTAGTTGTTGCTTGTGTTGTTGGTGCTTGTGTTGGTGAAGTTGCTTGTGTTGCTTCCATGACTTGATCGTCAGGATCCTCATGATCAGATTGAGAAGGTGAATCAGCTTCAGTGAGATTGGGCAGGAGTGGTAGTTGTGTATCAGGTGTTGTTGTTTGTTGTGGATTAGAGGGATGTGGGTTCTCATAAAAATGTTCAAATAGAGAATCAAGAACCGCACGTTCAGCAGTAGTTTGCACAGTTGCTTCAGCTTAGTTGTGGGACAAATAATAGATAAGAATGTAATAAAAATATAATTAAAAATAAACGGGGCGGGTACGGGGCGGGTAATGGGACGGGCATGTATAAAACCATAAGCGCCCCATTACCCGTAAAAACAAAACAGGTATTCCCCGCCCCGTACCCGTTACCCGATCAATGCGGTTTTCCCCGTTTTGAACGGGACGGTTCGGTGCGGGTATCCATCGGATCGGTAAGAATTGCCATCTCTAGTATTTATAGGCGCAGGTACAGGTACCGGAATGGGTAACCTAGGAGTTTGGGCCTAAGGCCTTTTTGGGTCTTATTCCCTTACTAGCCTAATTATTACATGATAATTAATACTACAAAGGTAAAAACTATTCTAATAATTAACAAGGCATTTGTCAAACTTGATTCACAATAAATATTCCCAACACTACTATTCATTACTTTACAAATGTACAACAATAATGGAGTATTTACTATTCATGCGTTATTTAATTTCTATCATGTAATAATTGTACCACTATGGAAAACTCTTATATAAGGAGCTCATTGTAACCATAAGAAGGCATCGGAATCAAAGGAAGTTCCTTACACAAGAATTCAATAAAACTTGAATTTCTTTCCATGTCTCTTTAAGTCTCTCTTTTCTATAATCTTTAGCTAGCATACATATAATCTCCATATGTTTATTAGTAATAGATTAATATTAAACATAAAGAGTGTGTATATGTTATATTCGACTAAAGTAATTTCGGAAAGATCTGTCGAGTATCCTAGCACCTAGCCATGTTTCCCGTGATGTTGCATCGGCGAGGGATGTCGGTGTGGGACGTCGGTGTGGGACGTCGGCGAGGAGCGTCGGCGAGGGCCGTCTGCGAGGAGCTGGTTGTGGCTGCACCAAGGTTGGCCCGTAGGGTTTTCTGGGAGGGGGATTGGGAGAAGAAGCAATATCTCAAAATTTAAAAGGCCTTTTTGTTGCGGTTCTCCATATGACCGCAACAAACACATGAGAAATTCAGAGTATTTGATGCGGTTGCCACATACCCGCGGCACAAATCTACAAAAAAAAAATCAAAATATAATAGGTACTTGCTGCGGTTCCTCTACGACCGCAGCAAAAAGTAACTAATCTTCATACTTTTTGCTGCGGTCGCAGAGGAACCGCAGCAAATACTTATAAATTTTGCCTATTTGCTGCGTTTTGAGTAAGAACCGCAACAATTAGGTAGCAGCAAATAAGGAAAATTCTAGTAGTGTGGCAGAAAGAAGGGAGTTTGGGCAAGGTGAGTGACTTCGGTGATCTGAATTGCTGAAGAAGGTATGATTTATGGACACTATGCGTTTAATCAAAATCTATACTAATAAATATGTGAAGATTATATTGTTCATGTTGGTTAAAGATTATAGATCAATTCAATAAAATAAAATGTCTGGTTTAATTATTTCGGGATTAATTGATACAGATTCAATATCAAACTTAATACACGCATTCCGCTTAATAAAACTGTTAATAAAAATTGAAGTTCTTGATAAAATTCTACCCTCTTTAGGGTCCTAGACTCTGCTATTGTTTACTCATTCATAGCTTTTATGTTTAATGATCTCTTCTGTTTCTGCTCACGGATTTCTGTGTTCTTTATTCGGGTCTTCCAACTGGAATTCGGCGAAGGAGCAGATATCATTGCGCGTGTCCCATTCTCTTCCCCAACAATTTTCATATTAGGTTTAATGATTTGATAATTACTACCCAATATTTTGTATATACACACATGGAGGTTAAGCTATGGAATGACAAGCGAGATGTATGAAAACTTTGCGGAGCTGTTTGCCATAATAAAAGCAACAGAAAAGCTTGAGAAAGCATATGTCCGAAATGTTATATCATCAACTGAGTATGAAAACGAATGCCAAAAATTGATTGCACATTACAAGACTCTGTCCTCTGGATTGAAGGACACTGTCCCAACGGTTTCACGACATCTACAAAATGGATTGCCCTAAACAGGGGCGGACCCAGGAAATTTATCTTGGGAGAGCGGTAACTTAAAAAAAATAATTATTGTTGGAGGGGCCACTGCTCCCTGGGTCTCTACTACGGTCCGCCCCCGGCCCTAAACCGCCTGGTGACCTCAGGGGTGACTGCAACAGTTGAGCACCGGGCAGCTGCTGCCGTATCAGCTTCCACTTCGGCTGCTGTTGTGGCGGAGTGTGTGCAGAACTTCATCATAGCCCGGGGCTGACCCAAGTTTATCTTTGGAGGGCGGTAACTTTAAAAAATATTTTTTGGGAGGGTGAAAATTATTTTTTGGTATATATATACACACTAAAAAAAATTGTTGGAGGGGCAACTGTCCCCCTAGTCTCTACTACGGTCCGCCCCTGATCACAGCCATGGACTCTCTGAAACTCAACATGGTTGCCGTTGACCAGGTGCACCATCTGCTGTCTGACTTGTCGGCCTCCCTTAACAAGCTCTCGATCTTGCCGCCTGATTTTGAAGGTAAGACTAAAATGAAGGAATGATTTTATAGGCTGGCTAAAATGGGTGCTGCTGATGAGTTGACCGAGCAACAGTCTCGGCAGCTGCACTTTGACCTTGAATCTTTATACAATTCCTTCATGGCGGCACTACCCTCTGCCGGGACTTAGATGATGAATTGAATTTGAGTGCTAATTAATGGTTTGTTTCATTAAAAGAAATTAAGTGGTGCCTTGTTGAACAAATTTTAATTTTGTTGTGCGGATTGACCCTATGTATGTTTATTATGGTACTACTATTCTGTGAAAAAAAAATACTAGTTGGTTTGTATTTTACATTTTATATTTTACTAGTAAAAAAATATAATGTAAATGTGTCAGTGAAAATGTCATTGTATTAAGGACAAAATAGCGTGATAATGTCAGTGTCAAAATATAGAAAACATCGGACCAGTTGATCCAGTGTGAAAATGTCAGTGTCAATATTGTCAAGGATCAATCGGTTGGATTTCTCATGTGATTTCTTCAATCAATCCAGTTTTTCTCTCCAACCAAGCACCATCAATGTATTCATGCAGCACATATTTTTTTAAGTAAATATATAAATCCTTACTTTTTTATTACACATCATTTATTTAATATTTTATTTTCACCAATAATTATGATTTAAAAATTCAAACATTCCAATGTAAAAAATAAAAAAGTGAATTGTTTTTTTGTAAGTATTAAAAATGCACACTTGAGTGAAATTTGAAATAAATTTAAAATTATTAATTGTTTTCTATATTGCTATATTATTGATTTTTCATTTTTAACACATGTCAAATTCAAAATACCAACAATCAATTACTAAAAACACACATAATATTGAGTACGATAAAAATACGTGGAACGTATCCTAATACATTACAATAACGGGAAAAGACACAAACAATAGTAGCTTTATTGAACTAAAAAATGAAAAATGTAAACAATAGAAAAATAACCCACTACACGGCTTTTCCATGATGGCCCACAAATGATTCACGAGATCATTTTTAAGAACAGTGTCCACTGCAGTCCTCTGTGGTTATGTCGCATCATGTAGTCATACAAAGTTGGGGCATCATGATTAAGATCAAACTGAATGTGCGGAACACTACAGTCATACTGCACTCTGTAGTCTTAAGTATTTGCATCGTCATCAGTTTCTTCATAATCATCTTCTACAATCATGTTGTGTAGGATAATGCATGTGAGCATTATATCACCTAATGTTTGTGTCTGATACATTTGGTCAGGCCCTCATACGGTAGCCCATCGCGTTTGTAAAATGCCAACGGCTCCTTCCACACCTTTGCGATAGGCCTTTTGCTTAGCAGCAATGAGGCGTTTCTTGGGGGATGTCAGGGTACTAATTGTTTTAACAAAACTAGCCCACGTAGAATAAATTTTGTCAGCTAAGTAATAACATTGATTGTACACGTTATTGTTTACCGTGTAATTCACTTGCGGAGCGCACCCATTAACAACAACATCAAACACTTGAGAGCATGCAAATATGTTAAGGTCATTGTTGGAACCCGCCGTGTCGAAAAATGCATTTCATATCCATGTATTGTACGAAGCAACAACCTCAAGCACAATAGTTGGTTTGTGCTTATGCCTAGTGAACTATCCCGCCCATGTCGTAGGACAATTCCTCCATTCCCAGTGCATACAATCGATGGAACCAATCATGCCGGAAAATCCTCTTTTGAAGCCCTCTCAAGAAAAGAAGGTGGAGGTCATCGGGGTTTGATGTTCGCAAGTACCAACAATCGCATGTCCCGATAATGGCCTCACGAAATCTCTTAGTAATAACTTGCAAAAATCATTTGATGACCTTCCCAGTTGAATTTTTTTGCTCAAATTTGGTATGGATGAACTAGACTTGATGAGGAACATACACAAAAAATTTGAGCCAAAAATACCACCGGGAACTATTTCAAATTGAGGTGGTCGGACGAGCCTCCTGTCCGGCCTGGCCGGACAGGAAAAGGACTCGTGTTATATATATATATATATACTAGCGACGGCCCGCGCGTTGCGCGGTTGTCATGCCCAATGGGAGGTACAAAATTTGGGAATGAAAGGAATGTTAAATCAATTTGCGAAAGGGACAACTGAAGTAAGTAAGAAACATAAAAGCAAGCCGTGCGTGTTACACCAACAAACATCACAAAATAGTAACATGCAATGTATCAAATTTCCGAAAAGAAAATAGACTACAAAAGACAAATACTACTTCACGAAAGCTCTATGAATACATCAAAAATTCCCTATAGATGATAAAAGCACGGCATACCAGGTTCAAATGTCAAGGCATGCCATTATCTGCTAGATAACTCCTCAAGATTCTCAAAACTTTAGCAAATTTCTAGGATAGGTACTTCCATTAGGCTCAAAACAAAACTCAAGTGCGACTAAAACTAAAGCATTTTGGGCCCTTTCCTCGCCATGAATGCTTTAAAATCCACATAAGATAGAAAGGGAAAATATATGCATCAGCATTGAAAGGAATATCAGCAGAAATTGGCATATGCATTACGAAACACAATAAGTTTTAAATGACATATCAGTATATTCTAAATGTTGTTGATATAGTTCAATATATTACCATATAATGTTATACGGAGTAGTATAGAGTATAAAGACATAAGATAGAATTATAGTTTATCTCAAACCTAATTGACTACTGAGCATATCCAAACCTGTTTATTTCTTCCATCGATTTCAGGTTTTCTAAGAATTCTCTCAAGATAGACCTAAAAACTGAAAATTGCATATTATGGCAACCAAGAAATATGGGATATCTCTTTTCTACTTACTTAATTCACCCTATCCAAACCGGTGGCTAAGCTATCTATTAGGTTAAAAGATTGTGGTAATGGAAAATGACATCCAGAAGTTATGATAATGGAAAATGACAACTTCTATCTCGCTCTTAAACTCTACTATGTACCATAAAATAGCTTGAATTTGTTATTATAAGGTCCTTGCTAGAGTGAGGATTTTAGTGGAAAAGAGACAGGGTCTAAAACTTAAACTTGGAAAATCTGGAAAAGAATAAAAGTGTCTTTACCTCAACAGATCGATCATTAGAGACTTAGTTTCCACTTCAATTCGACAATTGTCTACTCCACATGCCTCTAGAGCAGAAAGCGGGTGCTCAATTGTTCTAACGTTGTACCCATCTTTACACAGTGTAGTACACATGGGCGACTCCTTAAAAAAGGAATATATGCATCGATACGATTAGACCCAATCGCAAAGTACGTACCTTCAGCCGCAAGCTCCGGGCATATTCTCACCCTTGATTCCTTGTCAAAGTGGAGCCCCAGTTCAGTTCGTTCAATACAAGTTGATATGGTTTGCTTAAGCAAACCTGTCTGTGAAATTGACAGTTAACCGCGCATATAAAATACTCCACAGAGCTTCAAATGAAGATATTGACCAATAAAAAAAATAGAATGAGCTGCATGTGGGTTAAAGGGAGAGAAGGTACAGATTTCCAGGAGATGACAGCGGACGAGTAGTTTAAGGCTGCTTTCAAAAATGGTCTCCTTGGCAATTATGTTCTAAACATTGAAAAATATTCAAAAATTCAAAACTGTCAGCCTGCAAAATTCTAGACGACAACTATTTTGTAAAAGCAATTGAATAAGCATGGTTGACCGCTGACCCTATACACAGAGTTTTTGTGAAAGAGTTGTTACTATACTACAGAGCATCGAAAGTATGTTCTGAAATTATGGCATATGTGTACTGACTGACCTGTTCCTGCAATTCCATGCACAGACGTTCTTTCTCTCAATTATGCTTCTGAAGTTCATGAATTTGTATAATATTCTGAGCTCTTTCAGTTTCAGAGTTGCCCCACTCTATCCTGCAAAGATATGAGCCACATCAAAATAAATTAAAGCTAATATATCACCACACCCCAATTATAGAAACAATCATATTAGCCTATTAGGTGGTGACACTGTTTGTTTTAAACTCATTACTTATATGTTCACAAACAAGTAAAACCTTACAGAAGTACAATAAACCAAATCGAACACCTCAAATGCAGGCATACGAAGAAGAATTGAGAAGGATAATATAGCATACTTTTTAGCTTGTAACTGAGATAAGCATTAGCATGGTATGCACAATCATTTAGGTGTTTAAGAGCTATTTTCTGTCCGGAATAGTAGAGCTTTTCATCTTGTAATTGAGTTAAGTATTAGCTTGAAGAACAAGAAATTCCGGACGAGAAATTCCGGACAAGAAATTCTGGACAGGAATATTCCTCAATTCCAAACAAATGAATCAGAAAATATGGAAAAGAACATCATTCAATGAAATAAGAAATAGGGAAGATAATAAAAAATACCTCAGTTTCACGAGTGCAGGAGCTAAAACAGGAAAAGTTACAATTTGACCGTCCTCAGAATGGATTTCATCACTGGACAGTTTTGGGGCACGTGTAGTATATGAGTTCAACGGATCAGAGAAATGCTCATCATTTCCAGTTTGAGGGCCTCACAAAATAGAACAATTCCCTAGGTTACCTCTTTGTCACAGGTGGTCGTCGGGGTTGAAATGTGAAGTCAGTAAGCGGGACAGAGATTGGGCCATCAACAGGTACAACTATTCCATCACCGGCAGTGTTGCCAGAAGTACTCACATTTGAAACTGTATCAACCTCAACTTTAGGATCAAAGGCATCCATTTTATCACGAGTATGGATGGAAACCAGTGTTTGGGTTCCCATTGCGCATACTGTGAGCTCAAACATTACAGGGGCAGAGTTCGTGCCATCAATAGGGGCTGCTAAATTAACAGGGTCCATATCTAGTGTGTGAATCTGAGCAACAGGTCTGAGGACCATGTTACCAGTAGTCCGAGCTTCAACAGGTGCTATGGCCACTGATATTAGGCCTGGAAAAACAGTTAAATAAGAGTTGGTCATTTCAACAGGGGAAATCTGGGCATCATCTAGACCATCATAAACTGCTTTAGAGTGGATAGTGCCCTCATTAACACAACCTGGAGATTTCTCAATAAGGGGGCATGACTGCATGAAGCCTCAGTTTATCATCATAGGCAGAAGGTGGGACTATTGTTGCATTGGTACAAATATCCGAGAAAACATCATAAGGGTCACAAATAGGGACAGCAGTACCAAAGTTACCAGTTTCAGTGTTTTGAAGCACACTGGTGACCTGACTGGCATCTGGGAAACCATCACCATAAGGGACGGAAACAGGGGACTTAACACAAAAAGTACCAGTATTAAACAAAGTGGTGACCTTAATAGCATCACAAATAGGATCATGTGCAGAGATTGCAACATTTCCAGTATTCTCAATGTCAAGGGGGACATGAATTTCATCAGATATAGTATCACAGGCAGCATCAACAACACGAATATTAGAAGGCTCCGCACATACTAATTCAATAGGGGTTTTCGGGACACGGTTGATCAGTTCAGTTTCTATGAACTTGGGCATAATTATTACGTCACTTTAAAATACAAATAGGATATGGCATTTATGTGACGTGCTCCTATACCTCACTGTGAATCAAAAACAATTTTGGTTTCCTTGAGCTGCTCACATGGGATGAAGTAAACCCATACAATACTTCTTCAAAATTGTTTATTAAAAACAACCTGAAAAAAAAAAGCTAAAAGTAATCGAAGAGTAATGGAAGAGATGATATCAAAACCAAACCCGTAAAGGTTCCCATCAATCAGAAATGGCATTAACTATCAGCGAATTTCTGGTCAAACTTGCTTATTAAAGAAAAGACATAATACAGAAAAGTAATCCCTTAGTAAAAAAATATATGACCAAATAAAAGAAAATCTATTGACTAAAATTAAGGGAGACAAAGAAAATACCAACATAAATAGGAGGAGAAAGGATGATATAAGCCCGGCATTCCCAGTAGTGTGTATTCAACTGGAAATTGGTTGTCGAGCCGAGATACAGAAAGGGATCCTCAAATTGCCCGGAATTAGTGCTAGAAACCATCACCACCCCTACAATTTATTCAGCAGCTCTTTCGTTCTTACAGTGGATATGAAACCAAATAGAAAGAAAAGACTACAAAAGAGAAGAAGAAACATTAGCTAAAGTTACCAGGTTGAGAGGCGATAGATGGCTACGGGAGAGGCTCGATACCGGCCGCTGAGCGACCTGGGTTCGTTCTTACAGTGGAAATGAAACCAAATACAAAGCAAAGAAAACAAAAAGAGAAGAAGAAATGTTAGCTAAACTTACCAGGTTGCTAATTGAGAGGCGATAGATGGCTATGGGAGAAAGCTCGATACTGGCCGCTGAGCGACTCGGGGAAGAGTCTCCCCTCACAACCCTAGGTCGATTCTGAATTGCTGAGAAATGAAATGGGGATAACATCCCTCGCTCTTTTCTAGCGGGAGAGAAGTAAACGGGGTTAGCAACGGAGGGCACTGTAGTAACGGAATAGGACCAAGTTAACTCCCTTCCACCATTTATATAATTGGTAGATATATATATATATATATATATATATATATATATATATATATATATATATATATATATATAGTAATCTTCCGGTCAGGTATACCTGACCGGAGCCGCCGTCCGGCCTCCTCCTTTTGGGGGCCTTCCCAGTGGTATTTTTTGCTCAAATATTTTGTGTATGTTCCTCATCAAGTCTAGTTCATCCATACCAAATTTCAGCAAAAAATTCAATCGGGAAGGTCGTCAAATGATTTTTGCAAGTTAACTGGTCCGGAAAATACATATTCCGGAATATGTATTTTCCGGACCAGTTAACTTGCAAAAATCATTTGACGACCTTCCCGATTGAATTTTTTGCTGAAATTTGGTATGGATGAACTAGACTTGATGAGGAACATACACAAAATATTTGAGCAAAAAATACCACTGGGAAGGCCCCCAAAAGGAGGAGGCCGGACGGCGGTTCCTGTCAGGTATACCTGACATGAACATTTGTGTATATTATATATATATATAGGGGATGGTTCAAATACATAGAGCTTTTCCCATTCAAGGTGAGAATGAATCTTGTGCGTTCATTTTCACATCTAATCACTCAAAATGGGCCAAAAATGCAGAAAATTTGACCAAAATCGCGGTGGCATTTTTGAAAATATGTTGCACTTTTTCACCATTGCGAAAAAGTGCAACAGAAACATGAAAAAGTGCAAGCGAAACATGAAAAGTGCATATTTTCGCACTTTGCACGGGAAGATGTCTTTTTATTTGAACTCTTCCTTGTATAATACGTATTTAAACTCTTCCCTGTATAATACGTAGTGTGTGTGTGTGTATTACATATACAAGCAGGTGCAAATGAGCCGAGCCACTCGGTCAAAGGTCGAATCGAGATCGGTCAAACTCGAGCTTGAGCCGAGCTCGAGTTGGCTCGTTAAGCAGTCGAGCCATAAACGAGCTTACTAATTTTAGGCTCGTTAGCTTGCGAGCCAGCTCGCGAGCCTAGTTTTATCTGTGTGCATATTTATATTAATATACTCCGTATATAATATATTAATATACAATATAAATTAATACATAATATATTAGTATGTATATAATATAAATTAATATAGGGGATGGTTCAAATACAAAGAGTTCTTCCCATGCAAAGTGAGAATGAAAATTTTTAGGTTTGGGCATGTAAATTGCAATTTGCAAATGTTAGGCACAAATATTTAAAGATTGTTTTATACTTGAGCTCAAGTTCGAACCCGAACTTTCGAGCTAATCAAACTTGTAACTTTTCAACGAACCAAAATTATCGAACCGAATCGAGCTCAAGCCCGAATTTTTTAAGCTCATTTGAGCCGAGCTCGAGCCAATACAATATATTCCGAGCTCGAGCCTACATAAACTCGGGCTCGGCTCATTTGCACCCCTATATACAAGTTTGAGATACTTACCTCACACCTTTCATGGTTTGGAATATTGAAATTATTTTTCCCATTCCAAAATCACACATAATATATTTGCCATTTTCCCTAGTAAAGTTATCTTAAATTACTAGCAAGAAAATAAGTGAAAGTGAAGTGATTCGAGGGTTGGGTGTTTTGTTAATTTTCCTTTGTCATTTTTTCTTTTTCCTACTTGTACTCTTTATTGCTGTTTATTAATAAAATTTGGGATAAGGGTCAGATAGGGCCTCGAACTTGGAAAAAAATGTCAAATAAGGCCATATTTAGGATGCTATGTCCGGTTGACGCCATTTGGGGCGGTTCCCGGTGGAATTTTTTGATGAAGTTTTTTGAGAATCTTATTCATTAAGTTTAGTTTACTCATATCAAATTTGAACTAACAATTCAATTGGGAAGACATTCAAATGAATTCTTGCAGATTACTGCACTTTTAACTGCACAGTTATCTTCAAGAATTCATTTGAATGCCTTCCCGGTTGAAGTTTTAGTTCAAATTTGATATGAGTAAACTAGACTTAATGAATAAGATTCTCAAAAAATTTCATCAAAAAATTCCATCGGGAACCGCCCCAAATGGCGTCTGCCGGACAGAGCATCCTAAATATGGCCTTATTTGACATTTTTTTTCAAGTTCGAGGCCCTATCTGACCCTTATCCCATAAAATTCACTTTCGTTTAAAAAAAAAGTGAAGTAATTCGAGGATAACTTTGGATTAATTTTACCCTTACCTCAACTTCTATAGGCCAGTTTCGCCATTTGTATTTCCTAAAGCTCAAGTTTCAAGTTTCAACTCAGAGGTCCTCTCTTCTAAAGCCAAAGTCTCAACTCTCACGTAGTCACTTCAGGTTAAATTTATTTACTTATTTTCACATGTGCAACACTATTCCCTTCCAAGTGGATACAGGATATTGACCAAAGCCTTGAAAATTCAAGGAGCTACAGATATGGTTGAACCTTCAACTACTTCCCAGATCCCTATCCATATGGACAACGAGATATGGTCTTCATCTTATCATAATATCATCTTATAAATCCTCTTGGTTCCAGACAGTCAGACACCATTTATTATGCCCTGACAGATGATGAGTAAATTCACCATCATTATTACTATTATTATTATTACTATTATTATAGACATCTGAGAAGTGAGCTGAAAATAATTACCAGCATGTTCACCCTCTTTGGATTTCTCATTGAGTTATGGAGTAGCATACCTTCTTTTTACATTACATGTCGTCAGAATAAAGTGCCAAGGATTGACTAGATTCTATTTCCAGACATTATATTATGTTAGATGTAACGCAATGTGGTTACACAAACACAATTTTATTAATAAATAAATAAATACCCGAAAAATGATACATAGTTAAGTTGTGATCATATTGCTGAATTTTTAGAAGAATCATGCTTAAGAATGACAACTGGTTCTTTGCTAATGCAGAGACTCATCGTATCCGGGGAGCGATTGCCGATTAGTGTGGATCCATGTGAGGGTAGAGTCCCAATATATGCTCCGGCATGAAATCATGACGAGTCAAGATTCCAACTATTGGTGGTCTCTGCAAGAGTACACACAAAGCAACAATATGTTAACTATAGAGAAATGGAAGATATTCATGTGATGCACTTTAGTTAAATGTATGAGTTTTATATTTTGATATATTAGGGTCCCTTTGATGAGAGTTATTTGGCTAGAATGTTGTGCTATTAAAAAAATTGGTGAAATTGATTTCAGCCAAATAAGTCAAAATCCCTTATACTGCTGATAAGGAGACCAGGTTGAATAATGCTACCAAATGAAGAGTTGTCATATCTCAACATACCCCAAGTCGCTTTGGGACAACACACAAGTGTCGCAGACCGAGTTCCCTGAAGAGAATTGCGGCTTTGGCCAAAGACATTGTTTCTACCACAGTATACGGAGATGTATTCGTAATGGGATGAAGATCAACATACATCTCCAACTCCTCCTCTGCAATATCCAAGTCCTCAACTTTGAGTCCCTTCCCTAAACCCGGCTTTGCATAATCAAACACATGAAACCTCTTCAAAATCTGCGACCCCATCAAAACCTGCTGTTTGGAGAACTTCTTCCCATTTAACAGAACCAGCAGATGTGATCTAAGAACAAGCCCACATAGTTCTGGTGTTTCTGAGAACGGCGGCTCGTCAATCACCGGAAAACCGTTGTGCTTGGTTAACGTCAAAGCATGTAAGATGTTTCCTACTTTCTCGACACCGGAAAAGGTCATTAACGGTCCGGAGCAAACATCTCCAGCAACCAAATGTTTCATGTATGGTTCCGCGTGAGCTTCCATGAAAGGCAAGCCCTTCATCGTCACAATTTGGTCATACACCCCTTTGTTAAAACAATCAGCCACTGTTTTTGATATGAGCAGAACTAGCATCATTAAGGGGAGCATTAAGAGATCATTAGTGAGTTCAAGGAGAATGACGCAGAGTGACACTGTCATCCTCATGGTCCCACCGAGAAAGGAGGCGGAACCGAGAAGTGCAAAGAGACTGGTGCCTAAATTGGAGACAGAGCTCAAAAAGGTCCCAACGATTCGGCCATATGAGGCGCCAGCTAGGATGACAGGAATGAATAGTCCGGACGGAATGGCAATTCCATAAGTGACAATCCCTAGGAAGTAAACTACGGCAAAAAAGATAAAAAGTGTTGAGATGAAAAACTCATCCCCATCACGTGGGCTGAACAAATTGCGTATGGCATCGTCGTTGGTATTTAGAAAGAGGGAAGCAAGGTTATTGTACTGCCCAGGTGGACACTGGAAATTCTTGTAGTTCCCTGTTTGACCTTTGGTAGGACAGACACCCTCTGACCCTGGAGGACAAGGTCTGCACTTTGCCAACCAAGGGATTCCAAAGGAACAACAAGAAGTCAGGATGGAAATTGTCATGACAAGCAATATCTTGAAACCTGGACCTTTTCTGCAAAATAGTGTAAAAAATCAACAACGGGAAAACAAACAGAGGATAGTAATGAAACATCAGAGAGGAATAAAAGGTATACTCATTGATGATGCTGTATACTCGAAGAACCTTGTCCACAAGATAGTTGTATAAGCTCCCTAAAAGACCACCCAGGACTCCAATTAATATAACTGCCAGAAGATCTGTGGTGTTATAATTAGGCACTGTTGAACTAGTATCAAACATGATTAGACCCCCTTGCCCAAATAGTCCACACTTCCCAGACCGGCAAAATTGCATAAAGGATCTCAGGACCACAGCCACTACAGCAGTTGTGAAAAATGTCCTCCATAGAAGTGCACTCCGCCACCTAAATTTGAATAGTGACAAAGATCTATTAAAGGATGTATTCATACGTCCTTTATTGGTACAAGTAAGATTCTAAGGTTATGTCTGTTTCCATGAAAATACCTTATTGGTGAAAAATATTTTCTGCAGACAATGATTTCCTAGAAAGTGTCTTCAAGGAAAATAAGATGTCTATATATAATATGACGTCTGACCAATGGAAAATATAAAACAGTTTCATGAAAATAACTCCCGGTTTAAAATTAGGAAGTCTTTCTCCATAAAAAGTATAAGCAAGAGATACTGCTTTCTAGTTATGTAGCACGGATACAGGTATGCAAAAACATAGGATACACGGATTGTAATAGGGCAATCTAAGAAACTATAGGATAAAGGTAAACAGGTGTATTTGTGTACATAAGAGTTACAAAGAACTACGGAGTATTTGTAAATATATGATTTTTAAGAGAAAAACATATGAATTAATTTTTCTTTAATTGTGCATAAATTCTAATATTTACAAAAGTTATGTGCAATACTGCAATTTTGTTAATTAATTCTTATGTTTGTATTGAATTTAATAATTATTCTTTCGCTAGTTATCTTGATTTTTTGTCTAATATGTAAAACTTAAAATATATCCATCAATAGAGTTATGTTTAGAAAGACGCTTGATTCGTATATCTATCTGTGATAGGCTTATCTGGATTTTTGAACAATTTACAAGTGCGTCATGAAACTTTTGAGAAATTTCAGATACGTACGGTATGAGTACTTGAGAGTATCCGTTATGGAAATGTTTCCGAGACCAGGATATGACACCTCATTGAAGTGTCTGTGCTACATAGTTTCTAGAAATGTATTCCTCTGCCAAACACATGAAAATTAGAGCATTTTTCCATGTAAACAAACAGATCTTAGTGGCTGGACTTTGTTTAGCACCACTTTTCTTAACTTAATATGCCCAACAAAAGGACAGACTGACTGTTTGGTTCTTTGTCATGGTTATGAAATAGAAAATAGTCGGAATATCAATTAAAATGTAGCCCGGAGTGAGAGAGTGTGTGCGTGAATGTGTGAGAGAGAGGTACCATGAGGCAGCTTCTTCTAGGGCAAAAAGGACACCTCCAACTGGGGCACGGAAGGCACCTGCCACACCAGCAGCTGCTCCACATGTGATCAAATCCCTGCGGTCCCTGTCGTTTTTGAAGAGCCTTAGCCATTTCCAGGTCAAATGATACTTGCGAGAACCTCCCTGTCCAAGTAAGTTTGCAATGCAAGCACCCGTATGAACCATGGGCCCTTCCTTTCCCACGACAAATCCAGCAGCAACACCAAAGATGGAACCAAAAATCTGCCAATTTCAAATTCATTTGTTTCACACACTAACTCATCTCCAGAGTCATCCATTTTTTATTAATCATATAGCATAGCAGAGAATTTTAAGGTTTTTAAGAGTGAAAATACACATACAGAATAAGGCATTTAAGTATTTAACCAACCTTGACAAGAAGGGTGCTAGGAGCCAAAATAGAATGAGCATCAACACCATTGAGATATGCTTTAACTTCAGGAATACCAGATCCAGCAGCAGCAGGTGAAATGAACGCGCACAGGGATGCAGCACAAACAGCTAGAACAAGATTGCAACCGGACAATGCAGCAAAAGCCCGAAAATACCTGCACTAAGAAAATTATTCCCTATATACTTTGAGATGTGATGAAAAAGTAGATAACTGGATCTTGTTATGGTATTTCACCATGGCAAAAGCATGAAATGGCCAACAATTTTTTTGGCCAACAATATACGAATGAAACCTTGCACTCCCTCTTTCTAAAAATAATTCTTCATAGAGCGAGGAAAATACTAAGTATAGCCTGGCAGGTGAAGAGCACTAGTCTGTAGATCTTTAATATTGGGATCCTAAAGCCTCTCCAGAAAAATACCAACCACATAGCTCGCAGATCAACAAGACAATTGAC